TTTGTTTACAAAATATTAATGGGAATTACATATAAATTTATAAGTTTCATAAAGTAATGGTGCAAAATGAACGCAAAAGTGATATGAATTGATCTGTCTATGTGCACTAGCTAGCTAGATGCATGGCATATTGGCATTTGGTTCTGTGTAGTACAGTTGGAGGTATTTCAAACTTAAAAGGAGGACATTAGGCCAAAGGAAAAGAAGAAAATGTCAAAGCATTTTCAATGGACAGCTGACAAATTACACATTTTAAATGGATTTCCACTACAAAAAGGAATATATTTCTCTAGAGAAATCTTCATGTTTTCTTTGCATATATATGTGTCCGTGAAGCATATATACTTGTACTTATTAAAGCTTCTCTCCACGCTTAAAAGAATATTTGGTTTATTTTATCTGCAAAAACTTGTCAAACTTCTAGAAAAGCAAAAGTAAAGAAAAAGAGTTCAGTTTTAGTTGATATTTTGCTGTTTTATTTTTTCTTAAATTTTTTAAACGAAACGTAAATGTTATGTTTGATTGCACATAAGTCAAATTTTTTTTAAATACAAATTAAGATTTTCATCTTACTTTTACATATATAAAAATAAAATTTATTTATTTTTAATTAATGATTATGTTTGATTATTTTTATTTCTTTTTTAAATACATGTGATATTTTTATTATTTTTTATATAAAAAAGCAGTATCACAGCTTGAACTTAATTATTCTTACTCCGTCTATCTTTTATCACTTGAGTTAAATCCTAAACCCAGAGCCAAAAGGCTAAATTCACTGTATAGTTGGTAAGTGATTAATACAAATATTTTGTTGGTTGAGAAAAAAAATTTACTAGAACTGATGTTGTGGGATTGGGACAGATTTAAATAAAAATAAAATAAAATACTTAACAAAAAATTTAAAACCATAACATAGTATATATAAAAGCGAGCTAGATTCCAATAGCATGTTGGATATAGGATAGCATAAATCTTAGAAACACTTTTTGATGAGCACATCATCATGACACTTTCAATAATCAACTCTCTGTATTTACAGATCATTTTTTTTTAAAAGGAGAAACACTTTCGATTTTACATATTGTGTTCTTCAATTGTTTGATTTATATATTTATTAATTAATCTCATGGTTAATTTGATGCTTATAAAAGCCAAAGAACAGGCACCCACGATCTATGAATAATCCTAGGGCTAACCGTGTACAAATATATTCGTTACCTTTGGCTCTTAACTCTAATTAAGATATTCAAATTAACCCTCTCTTTTTCAGTGCCAAAACCTCACAGGGCATCGGCAACAATGGAAGCTGGACGAAATACAACATGCCATCGGTGCAACAAAAGATTAGTAGTGAAGGCAAGAAACAAAAGTTTGGGAATTAACTGTCCGTCGTGCAGAAACGTTATTCCAATACCGAACGGGGAGCTGCAGACAAGCAGGCACCAAGGATTTCGCGGCGGAATGAGAAGCCTTGGCAGGCATTTGAAAAGTAAGCTTCATCAAGGAGCCGTAGCTCCTTCCTTAAATGAGCCCTCTGGTCCTAACCCGACAAGATCCAGCAAGCGTGCAGTGCTTTGTGGAATCACTTACAATCAATGGAAGTACAAGCTTAAAGGAACTATTAACGACGTGAAAAACATGAGAGAATTGTTGACTACTAGATTTGGTTACCCCAGAGAATGCATTCGTGTTCTTACCGGTGTGCTATTACTGCTGCTTATTTAATTACTAGTGTAAGTCTTCATATATGAATTAATATTGGCATTAATTTTAGCTTTTCCCATTTCGTTGCCATGATTCTAACTGCAGAAGAGGAGACAGACCAACGCTACATTCCAACAAGGCAAAACATCGAGGATTCCTTGAGATGGCTGGTGAATGACTGCCGGTCAGGAGATTCACTGGTGTTCTTCTACTCTGGACATGGCTTACGACAAATTGATGTCAACAACGATGAGGCAGATGGGTTCGACGAAACCATCTGTCCAGTTGATTTTCTGAAAGCGGGCATGATCCTCGACAATGATCTCAATTCCCTTATCGTTCGGCCGCTCAAGCACGGTGTCACGCTTCACGCCATTGTTGATGCTTGTCATAGCGGAACGATTTTAGATCTTCCAAATGTTTACTGCAGTTCAGAGTAAGCCTCTCCCTTTTTTTCCTGTTACAATTTTCAATTAGAAACGTAATCTGCGTGGAAATCAATGCACAGATAAATCATATAATAAAAATATTTAACATGGTTAGACATCCATTGTTTACATTCATGGACTGAGAGATAAAAAATTCACTATGAATGTAAAGATTACAAAAAAAATACATAATAGTAAAAGATTTCAAAAGATATAAAACACTAAAAAATAACCGGTAAATATGAATCTCGAAACAAATTTAAGTTTTATACTCACTAGTGTTTAAACTCATGAAAAATTCTCTATCCTGTGTAATCTTACGTTTTTCCACACTACAAAAAAATTAAATTTTAATCAAACTTCTTTAGAAGACATTTTTTTGTATATTAAAATTGTCAAAAGTGCAATTATTTAAAATTTTAACTTCACTTTTTTCACATTAGTAGCAATATAAAAAAGTACAATATTTACTAGTGTTTGTAATTTCTATCATTAGATTTTATTCATAATATATTTAAAAATTTATATAGTGAAGTTAGATTTATAAAAATATTCTAAAAAACATAAACAAATGTTATTAAAAATATTTTTAATAGCACAATTTAAAAATATGCTGTCTTAAGTTAAATTTGTTGTAGTGCTACATTTTTTCATACATCCTTATAACTCTATGAAATTCACACAAAAAAACTAATCTCTTACATAGAGATTACATCTTTCTCTCTCATAAGTTCAAAAGCTAAGACTTGGAACATATTTATACAGCGATATTACTTGGACACTAAGAATTTCTATCCATTAAACATATTAATACTTTAAATAAATTTAATTACCAAGTAATTCTCAATTAATAGAATTCCACGTAAATCCAAATTGATTTTCAATTAAAATTTGAGTCAAATATCTAATAAGTCTTAACCTTGACACAAATTGTATCATTTGAGGAAATCTGGACTACATATAAAGGAATCAATCCTGACCACCTCATTCCCTCAACAAGATCAATACCCATATGCAGACACCAAGCGAACTTACCCTTGTTGGCTTCATAGAGGATCCTCATCAAACTTATCTCAACAGGTTTTGGCTTTCATTTGAGTCTGCAA